CCATGCGGCGCCTTGCATTACAGCCAACTGGCGGTGAGCAGTTGTGAGTCACAGTCGCTAATGGCGACCGTCTCCACTGCCACGAGCTCGCCCGCGACGTGCCCATCACTATCGGTGATGAGCACTTCACCATCACCTGCGCCGGCAACGACTTGGGCTGCTTCGACTTCATCCTCGGCGTTGACTTCTCACGCACTCTTGGTCCTATTCTCTGGGATTTCGACGCGCTGACGATGACCTTCTGGCGGTTGGGCCGCCGCATTCGGTGGGACGACATTGGGGGTGCCGCACCCACACCACCACTCCAGCTGGCCGCGACCACCGCCACGGCCGAGCACCCACTCTTGGAGAGCCTCCTACAGCAGCACGATGACATCTTCACCGAGCCACAGGGGCTGCCGCCCGCCCGCACGTATGATCACCGTATACATCTTCTGCCAGGCTCCGCGCCGGTGGCGGTCCGCCCTTACCACTATCCGCAGTTGCAAAAGGATGAGTTGGAGCGGTAGTGTGCGCTCATGCTCGCGGCAGGCATCATCCGGCTCTCCACCTTGCCGTTTACCGCGCCGGTGCTTCTCGTCTGCAAGTCAGACGGCACCTGGCGTTTCTGCATCGACTATCGTGCCCTTAATGCTGTCACACTTAAGGACAAGTTCCCTATTTCGGTGGTCGACGAGCTCCTCGATGAGCTACACGGGGCGCGCTTCTTCACCAAGCTCGACCTCCGGTTCGGGTACCACCAGGTGCGCATGCACCCGGATGACATCGCCAAGACGGCGTTTCGGACTCACCACGGCCACTTCGAGTTCTTGGTGATGCCCTTTGGCCTCACCAACGCACCAACCTTCCAGGCTCTGATGAACGACGTCCTCCGGCCCTACTTATGCCGGTTTGTGCTCGTTTTCTTTGATGATATTCTGATCTACAGTGCGTCTTGGGCAGAGCATCTACAGCGCGTCGCCATCGTCTTCAACGAGCTTCGGGCGCACCATCTCCATCTTAAGCGCTCGAAGTGCTCGTTCGTAACGCCTTCGGTGGCCTACTTGGGCCACGTCATCTCGGCCGACGGGGTCACTATGGACGCCGACAAGGTGGCTGCCGTCGCTGCCTGGCCGACGCCCCAGTCTCCGCGGGCTCTTCGCGGGTTTCTCGGCCTTGCGGGCTACTACCGGAAGTTCATCCGGGAGTTCGGCGTCATCGCTTTGCCATTCACGCGGTTGTTGCGCCGCGACGCCTTCGCCTGGGTCAAGGAAGCGACGACAGCTTTCGAGGCCCTCAAGGGGGCCCTCACGACGGGGCCTGTTCTTCAAATGCCGGATTTCGACCGCCTGTTCGTGGTGGACTGTGACGCCTCGGGTGTGGGGTTCGGCGCCGTGCTCCATCAGGGCGATGGCCCTCTCGCCTTCTTCAGTCGGCCTTTCGCCCCACGCCATCTCAAGCTCGCGGGTACGAGCGGGAGCTCATTGGCTTGGTGCAGGCGGTGCGCCATTGGCGGCCCTATCTGTGGGGCCGGTCTTTCCAGATTCGCACCGACCACTACAGCCTGAAGTTCTTGCTGGATCAGAGGCTCTCGACCATGCCACAACACCAGTGGATTAGCAAGCTCTTCGGCTTCGATTTCTCCGTCGAGTACCGCCCGGGTCGTCTTAACACCGTGGCCGATGCTTTATCCTGCCGCGATGCCGACCTCGACTCCGTCACCGGCAACTCCGAGGGGACGGCGCTCTGCATCCGCTCAGGGCCGACTTTCGGCCTCTTCGACGACATTCGCCGGGCCACGGCGACCGCAGCCGACGCGGTTCTCCTACAGCAGCAGCTCGCGGCCGGCGACCTGGAGGAGCCATGGTGCCTTTCCGACGGTCTGCTCGTCCATGGGCGCCGTGTCTTCGTGCCAACACATGATGATCTCCGTCACCAGGTCTTGCTGCTAGCCCACTTGGCTGGCCATGAGGGTGTGCAGAAAACCCTCCATCATCTCCGCGCCGACTTCTACATTCCTGGTGATCGTGCCCTGGTTCGCGATTGGGTGCGCTCTTGTGCGACATGCCAGTGCAACAAGACGGAGACGCTACGACCAGCTGGTCTTCTTCAGCCCCTGCATGTGCCGTCTCAGGTCTGGGCCGATATCTCCATGGACTTCATTGAGGGGCTGCCCAAGGTGGGAGGCAAGTCGGTCATTCTCACGGTGGTCGACCGCTTTTCGAAGTATGCTCACTTCATCGCACTGGGGCATCCCTACACTGCCGCGTCCATGGCCCGTGCCTTCTTCGACGGTATTGTCCGTCTGCACGGGTTCCCTTCTTCGACCGTCAGTGATCGCGACATGGTGTTCACGGGCCATGTCTGGCGCGACCTCTTCAGGATGGCGGGAGTAAAGCTCTGCTTCAGCACGGCCTTCCACCCCCAGACGGACGGCCAATCTGAGGTGGTTAACAAGGTGATTGCCATGTATTTACGCTGTGTTACAGGTGATCGGCCTCGCGCTTGGGTGGATTGGCTCGCATGGGCGGAGTACTGCTACAACACATCCTACCACTCCGCCCTGCGTGCGACACCATTTGAGGTGGTTTACGGGCGGCCACCTCCGCCTATCTTGCCGGTGGACCCGGCTACGGCTCGGACGGAGGCCGCAGGCGACCTTATTCGCACCCGTGACGAGATGCTTGTTGAGGTCCGTCAGCGTCTCCTTCAGGCTCAGCAGTTGGCGAAGCATTACTACGACGACCACCATTGCGAGGCGGAGTTCGCGGTGGGTGATTGGGTGTGGCTGCGTCTTCTCCACCGCTCTACGCAGTCACTCGACCCGCGCGCGAAGCGCAAGCTCGGTCCTCGCTACGCGGGACCCTTCGCCATCTTGGAGCGCATCGGCCAGGTGGCCTATCGCCTTCAGCTTCCGGCCGGCGCTTGCATCCACGATGTGTTTCATGTGGGGCTGCTCAAGCTTTTTCGTGGAGAGCCACCGGCGGCTCCACCCGCGCTTCCTCCGACCGCCAACGGACGTCTTCTGGAGCCAGAGAAGGTGTTGAAGGCGCAACTTCGTCGCAGGGTGTGGTTCGTCTTGATCCAGTGGCGGGTCTTCCAGTGGAGGAGGCTACTTGGGAGCCACGTGATGATTTCCGCCACCACTATCCAGACTTTCAGCTCGAGGACGAGCTGTTTGTGCAGGCGGGGAGAGATGTTATGACCGGTTTACAATATAACCGGAGGAGGCCTGCTGGGCAGTAAATTAGGGGCTTGGCCCACAAGTTATCTTAGGCTAGTCGTTTTCAAGTTATAAATATTAGATTGTAAGATACCCTTTGGGATTAAGCAATAAAGATAATTCTATCATTGCCCGTCTCCAGAGGAGCCGGAAACCCTAGCCGCACCCTGCCCTAGCCGCCGCCGCCCTTCTTCCCCCTCGCGACGGCGCCAACACGCCGGAGCCGCCGCCCTCGTCCCCAACCCCCGCTGTTCTGCCCGTATAACCTACGGAGTAGAGCCGGTAGGAACCCTAGTCCTACCATGGCAATACAACTTAATTGCCATGATTGACATCAGAAGTTATCAACCTTCATATTCTGCATCAAACCTTCTCTTATGAATCCGTTAAAATGGTTTTCAGGCATTTTTCATACCCGTGTGTAGGCATTTTTTACCATTTTCAGCTAGTCCAGTAATGTTGAAGATTGTCTTCAACTGCATATGGGTCCCTCTTTTTCTCAACATGAACTTAGTTATTCTACAATCACGGAAAGCCAGGATAGTCTGCTGATAGCACCAACAGTTTTCTGTTCATGAGTTCACAGAAATAACATTATAATTAGATCTGTAGGGTGCTTATGTTTAAAATATACTGTATTTGAGGCAACATTATGTGGGATTCTTTCATTAACTGATGCTTGATTGGTCCTACTATTTTCCTTTGGTTATATTTCTGAAACTAGACTTGTCCCTTTTATTGGCCTCAGCATAGACGTGGTTTCGAAGGCGTTCGAGGGGAAATCCGCTGTGAACAGGCAGAGAATGGTTTACAAGGTTATATGGGAGGAGCTTCAGAGCACCGTGCATGCTGTGGACCAAATGACCACCAAGACTCCAGGTGAGGCGGCTGGCAACTAGTAATCGAGATCTGCATGGCAAAAATTAAATTTGGAACGCGGATAAACTGTTGTACACCAAGACCGGGCCACTGCCAGGACCGACATGAAGACATTCTTTTGTAGGACACACTTTTCATGTACACGTCAACTGATGGATCAATAATTTGGGGTGTGATTGGCATTACTTCCGTAAGAAATATATTTTTTGGCTATAATTAGCATTTTGTTTTTTATATGGCAGCTACTTGTCCAGAGGATTCAAGAGTTAGAATTTCTGGTTCGATCTTTATATGCTTTTCATGTGACTCTGATCCACCTGAGGTGTATCGTTGCCGGCTTTATGCAATCATGAGGCGAAAATAGGAATAGAGGTTGAGGGAGAATGCCAAATATATGTAGAAAATTGATTGAAACTACCAAATTGAGATAATTGCGGTGTACTCCCTCCGTTCCAAATTACTCGTCGTGGTTTTAGTTGAGTACCTGGTGGCATTCCCCTAGATACCATGTCTCGGCAATAAGGTAATTTACGACTTCATTTTATTTTCAAGCAACCAGCAGGGCTCCGCCTTTTCATTGAGCAAGCAAGAGAATTGAAAACGGACATCTTTGCTTAAGTTATGCACCAGGACGTGCGAGGGTTATCTTGGCTTTGGAGCTTCTCCAAATCTTCTGGTGCATGAGCGAGTGTTGTGTGGTGCGTTCTCTCTGTTCAAAATTGTTGAGTGTGAACATTTGTCTCACGATATAGCTATATAGATATCGACAATCCAACACTTTGTACACACACCAGCAAACAAGCCGACATCGGTACATTACAGTTACCGGGCGACCATCCTTCCTTGATCGGAAGTTCCTAAGCAAACATTTTTTTGGACTTAATAAGTTCACAACGGAGCGCACAGGGAAGCGAAACAACTATGCTCCCACGTTCATCTTGTCGTCATGTGCTTCATTTGCGGCTTCAACTTTTGGAATAACCTCCACGCTCCCCATCTGCACATCTGAAACTGAATCACCGTGGGTGCCAGCAGGCGCAGCTGGCAAGGGAGCAGCCGGCTTGTCAGATGGCCCTCCTTGATCTGGGTTGCGGACCACGGTCACCTCGGCAGTGTTCACATCCATCATCTTGTGTGCCTTTTGGGGTTTCTGCTCAACTGGGCTAACATTCTGAGCATCTGCAGATGCCGCCGCTCTAGATGCGTGCAAGATCTGGAGCCTGAAATCAGTTTCTGGTCGACGGCATACCTTCCTCAGAGGAACAATCTCCTGTCACGTCAAAAGAAATGTAAAATCTAATTATTTGTCTGAAACATCATACTCGTCACTCTGCTTTCCGTTTCATTTGACTACATAGTAAGATATATAATTAGCCTAGAAAAAAAAACAGAGTATCTTGCACTAATCTTCCCCATCATTTCTTCCTTGAACATTTAGATTTTTTTGTTTGGCTGCCAAAGAAATTGCATGTTGGAAATGAAATCACAAGGAAATTCCAAAGTAGGTTTTGTTGCCTACAGAAACTGGGGTGAGTTTTAATGGGTCGAGACCATGGCAAGCTACCAACTATTCATGTCCAGGCACGTTATGAAGAAGAAAACCATGGCCAACTACATATAAAAATCAGAGGGTGGAGGCCTGATTTTTACCAGCTCAGGTTGTACGTGTCATCAAATCTTAGTGGAATCGAGGATAAAGTCCAAAATCAAATTCTATGTGCAGGCAAATAGCCCTGGAACCAGAATCGTAACTCCAGGAACCTAGCCCCACATCTGACATCCAAAACAGTGCAACACTGGAACCAGAGTAAATGCCTGAACGCTCAACAAAGTTAGACAGAAGGAGAATTACCTCAGAGTGATCATGATCATAACGAACAAGAAACCTGCAGCGGCACCCTCTTACATCATGCCTGCGCCTTTGAGCATCAAGAACACGAGCGTCAAAATAGAGGGCCTGCTCTTTGCCTTCCTGTTCAATTCAGCACAGAAATATTTATTCATGTCAGAAATCAACTCGGATAAACGGTAACACTACATTACAAGACAACTAAATCAAATCAAAATAGACTGACCCTTTGTTCAACTTTACTCACAATGTTACTTACCCACTGACCAAAGTTCCTTACTTCAGACCTTCAACAATACTCCAATTTTGAGTACAATACTGTCTTGAACTAGCAGTGAACTCAGGCACATTTAATCTCAACACCCTGATTTATCGTTCCAGGTGTTTGTCCAACTACCAACACAATGATTTTTTAGGCAGCCTTTATTTGATGGAAGTTGATTTATCCATTTTATAAATGACCAGAGAGAGGTTACAGCCTCCATTTTGCAAGAGAAGCTTTCAGGGCTCACTTCAATAATAAAGTAATAAGAATATTCATTGGATAAATTCACACCCAATTTAGATTAAAAATCAGTTCTTGTACTCAGAAGTATGACTAGTAATAAAATGCAGCGATTTTACAGTCCTTTTGCCATTCACACCTCAACTAATAAATTGTAAAATCAATGCTGCCAGTTGGACCAAGTGGCATCACAATGAAATTCTATTATGAAATATGATTACCAAGAATATGGAAAGCCACAGGAAACAGATGTTGTACTTAAATGTCCTATTCATTGCAACTACAGCGCTGCATATATCATATAAAATACATGCAGCACTGGAACTTATAATTCTTAAAGATTAAAGTAAAGGCATTTAATAAGTATGCATATACTGTCAATCACAACACTTGAAAGCGCAGACTGGAATTACAACTTTTATAGTCTACACAAACAAGAAATAGAGCCTATGAATTGCAGAACCTTGAGTGTCAACAAGGTTGAAATATATAATCAATTACTCTTAAAAAGGACCAAACAAGTGACTTGGCTTAATAAGCAACAGTAATCTGTTTGCCATGTGCACCGCAGTCAAAACAGAAACTTTGGAAGACCCAAGACTTTTGGCAGGCGAAACCCGACCGACATACCCATCACTCTATCAGAGGCCAACAAGTAACAGAAATAAAATAATCGCGGAACATTAATAAGTTAACAAGCAAAACTTTCAAGTGCTAAGTCAGGTGAACAGAAGTCCTTTAAGATGATGACTACCTGAAAACAAAGAATGAGATCCCCAGGAAGCACAGCAACACATTCTGCAGCTTCACATGGAAGAGAACGCAGCCTCACACATTTACGAACATTAATCCATTCATCCTCCTCGGGCCCAAATCCAGAAAATCGAACTTTTACTTCCTGAAACACAAAAAATTAATAAGTGCAAGCACAGTTGGCGTAACGCACAGGTAGTAAACCCACTGTGGAGAATGATTAAACACTAGAGGAATATGGGCATTATATAATTGTCGAAAAATGAGCAAGTCTGGTTTTCAACCCTCAACTGTGAAAAACACAAATCACCACTAAGACTGGTTTTGACAGTAATCTTTGCCGCGTTGGCAGCCAAATCCTCGATCTTTGTGAATCTTAAGTGCCAGCTTGACAAGCCACATCAAGTCGTCAACAGTTTGTTTCTCTCTTCTCAAACCATACTCAAATCAGCTCACAAGCCCCGCAGCAACTGAGCCACATGTATCACTTAGAACTCAACAGCTTGTGCAACACTGCACTAACCCTTGGGTGCCCATCAAACATGTTTGCCTTCCGCGCTTGCTACATACACTACACCTACAGTGGTTCACATCACACTTCAACCACACACAGTTCCCGCAAGGTGATGTAAAGACTAATTTGGATGCAAAGTTATTTCCATACTATGGCTGTGCTTCTTCCTTTGGTGTGTGTGGAGTCAACTAAAAGTCTAATTGTCTAAAACAATACTACAGCTGCTGCTGCTGTGATTCTCCATTAAGCAAATACTAGAACTATGGCAAATCGTCAAGCTTGGGCAAATAAATCAAGAAACAAAGCTTTGGCAGCTAGTACAGTGGTGGTGGATGACTAGTAGTTAGCACAGAGTTGGATGAATCAGTTAGTTAATTTGGAAATTGACCCAGCATGGAAGCCTATGCTTTGCAGTTCGCATGCGTATGAGTCTGGACAAGATTCTGGAGTAGGTGTGCTTGTTTCTCGAGGCCACACCCTGCAGCACAGTGCAGGAGGGCTCTTTGGCTCAGAGATGCCCCTGCTTTTTGCTGGCTGTGTGGAAGAGAAGCAGCCAGGGTTTGATTATGAATGGACCCTGCAGGGACAATGATAAAGTCCTGTGGAGCTGTCATCACAGTCACATTATTGATGCTCGGATCATGACATCACGATCAAGGCAAGCAATGCGCAATTGGATGGCGCACACTGTGTCGCGTGTAAGGATGTTATATTGCACGTTTGCACCATATCAAATCTCCAATATTTTCCCTATGCTGACTATAGATCATGGGATTGGCATAATGGGTGAGTGGGGATCCATGGTGGCAATGGCGCAATGCAGCTGAATTCGCTTGCTACATGACCAAACTGACATGAAAACTGCCACTGTAGTCTGATACGCTTCAGTTCCTACAGTTCAAGGGTGTAAATAGCATTGTGGTCCAGCATTTAAAATCGCTTCTCATGATAACTGAAGGGGGTGCATTAACTTGTTCATTTTAAAAACTCTACACTGCTATGTAATCTTTAAAAGAAACATTCAATCTTTGTATTTTGTTTTACATGTCAAAACACAGAAATGGTGAAAAGTAAATGTTATACCATCTAGTATCAGCTTCCCGTATAAGCCTAAAGTAGTAAATACACAAGATTCTTGGAGTTGTGTTAACTGATCAGTACTTTATTAGTACCATCTTGTAAAAGTGTAGAGAAGGATGGCGTGATACTGCGCCAACTCACAGGACTTCTACAACACAAAGTTAGATAAGACAGGTCTTCGAAATGTTTTTACACCAACACTGTTCCGGCTATAAGTGTTGGGGCAATCTAGATCACAAACCCATCCAACTCTAGATAGATGAGAACCGGAATCATCTCTAGTTTTAGTGCTGGCGAAGTGCTTGAATAAAGAATGGTAGAAATGAATTTAGTAAATCAATCATATTTAATAAAAAGTTCTATTGTTATTACCGGATCCCCTGTTTCAAAGAGCCTGTGGGACAGAAAGGCAGCAACATCGTACCTGTAACAACAAAGATTGGTCATGCATATAAGACTAAAAGGTTTATGCAAGTAAACTGGATCAACTTTTAACACACACAGAAACCAACCCACACGCGAACAAAAATAAATCAACATATACGCAAAAATAGGCCATATGTGACATCAAAAGATACAAAAGATGAAAGAATGAAATATGTATATCTGCATACCACGCGCCATCTCTAGCTGACTTTGCTTCAAACTCGGCCTGGCCACCATCCGAAGCACTCTTTCCTGATTGGTAACGACAATATCAATAATCCATAATCAACATGATACATGGTTCATGGCAGGGTCGGTTACAAACGAAAATCTTCTAAACGATAATAAATACTAAAATCGTTATAGCAGCCAGCACCCAAACACTAAGCCCTAGAGATTCAGAGGCACCCTGCACCCAACATAAGCAGCACAGCACTCGTGCATAAATTCTGCACCACCAAAGCAATAGTACCAATATACTACCATCATTATCATCCTAACCACCAGCGGAATTACATGCTATGGAAATGAACAGCATAAGTAAATATGGAGTTATGGGCGTTCAAGCAGCCACCTGAGTGGGATCCGGGGTACGAAGAGGACGACCCCTGAGCCCTGAAGGAGGCCGGGTGGTGTTCCTCGGCCCCCGTGGGCAGCATCTTCCCCTGCGGCGGCGGCGCGCCCCTGGGGGTCCTGGCCCGCTGCGAGTACCTCCGGTTCTGGAACCAGTTCCAGACCTGCGCCGACCCACAAAATCCAACATAGATAGATCAGAATAAGACGGGCCCGTCTCGTATCTCCAGGGAGGGGAAATAGGGGGGAATTAAATTCGAGTTCCGCGGAGGGGGAAACCTAGTACGTACCTGCTTGTACTGGACGGGGATCTTGCCGGCGCGGGCGGCGGAGGCGGTGAACTTCTCGGCGAGGCCCTGGATGACGTTGCGCTGCGGGATGGCGTTGTTGAGGTGGCGGAGGTGCTCCTCCATCTCCGCCACCTCCGCGTGCGTGAACCGGAACGCGGGCCCCCCGCTGCTCGGCGGCCGCCCCATCCTCCTCCTCCGGCGCTGCTGCGAGTGCCGCGGTGACCGGTGAGGAGGCTCGACGGATAGATCGTCGGAGTAGGGACACTTTGGGGGGGATGCGTTACCGGTTCAGACAGGCAGACGCTGATCCGCCACGGGATCTCGCCTCTGTGTCTCCTCCGGCTGTACCGTGTGCCGCTGCCTGTGTTGCATGCCTTTTCTGCGGGATCCGAGCCGGATTGCCTAGCCAAACTCCACGACCGAACTTTTTTTTAGGGGACGACCGAACATCTATTTTGTGTGGATTCGTCTGATCACTTTTTATTTTCTTGTTAGCACATCTTGTGTTTGTGTTGGCGGTGCGTCTAATTGGCCGACACATTTGGTTTACCCGGCGGTCAAATGTACACACTTTTTTAAATGCATACGTCTAACTAAAAAAACATTGCATATAATTCACAACCAAATAAGCACATAGTACTACAATAATAAATAGTTTACAACCGAATAAAAATCACAAACTTTATAATTAAAATTTAATTGTAGCAAATACATCGAAGGAAAATGAACCGATACATGTGGTAGTTACCAAGGTGAGTCCATATGTGCTCAACCAAATTATTTTGGAGTTGAATGTGATTTTGTCAATCATACATTTCATGAAATTGGATAAACTATAGAAACATCGCCGGTTCTTGGTGCTCAGGCACAACATTTTACATGCCTTTTGTACGACCCCTACCAATCAAATAGGCAGTTCTTTCACTTCCAGTGCGTACAATCTATATTACCAAGCATTCATGGAAAGCCTCTATTTGCATTGATCGCCAATAGTCAGGTTGTATCTACGACATTTGGCACTCAAGTACTCAGGGCCAAACACTGCCTTGCAGAACCTATACATTGATGTGAGGCATGTGGACTCACTCATGCGTACATACTCATCCACAAGATCACCGGGAATTCCGTATGCAAGCATACGAATAGCCTGAGTGCATTTCTGGTAAGAAGAGAAGCCAGCCTTTTCAAGGGCATCCTCCTTTCACTCAAAGTAATCATCATATGCTACCACTCTGTTGTAGGGTGGAGACCCTAAGTAGAGATCTTTCACGAATTGGAGGGGGGGGGGGTCCACGAAGAACGCTAAGAACAAGAGGGGAAATCACAAAAGTAACACTCAAGAACAAGTCCAATCACACATCCACTAGACCAACAAACACATGAGATTCACAAGGCACAAGAACAATCAAAGGGAAAATAAGGTACATGATAAAAGTTCATCCCAAATCCTATGAAGGAGATGAGGTCTTGATGATCTAGATAGATCCTTCCCACAAGGAGGTCTTGAATCCCTAAGGATCTTCTTCAATGGAGGTCTTGAACTCCAACGGAGTGTTCTCTCACTCTCAAGAGGAATCCCACAAGGGGAGGTACATGAGCTAAATTCTAATGTCTAGATCTATTCTTAGCTAAGCTTAAATGGAGGAGATGGAGGAGTATATATAGTCCTAGGGGTTGAAGGGGTGAGCAGGGGTGAAACGGTTATTACAAGGACAAAGCTCGCAGCTACACATAGGCCCCCCCGTGTGCACGGGGTAAGTGGAGCCTGTCCGCATGGGGTCTCCAGCGACCTGGCGCATTAGTCCGTGCACACGGGGCCTGTGAGGCCCATGGAGACGGGGTCTCGCGGCACGGTACACGCCTGCGTGCAAAGGGTCTTCAGGACCGTGCAACCTGGGAGGCCCGTGGGCACGGGGTCACCTGGGAGCTTCTGCCTTCTTCTTTGACGGTTCCTTCTCCGCTTCTAGGATTCCCACTTGGATGGCGTAGTTGTTCTCTTGTGCTTGGACTCCTCATCGACGAATGTGTAGCTACGCTCACACCTATGTATGCACACGAGAGAGGGGTCAAGTAGTATACCATCATTGAAGGGTACAAGTGGTCATGTGTAAAGGAGATGATTCACCTTTGTATGCATGAAGTAGATGTCGCACGTGTCCCTTGCCAAACAGACTCTTGACATGGTGATGTCCATAGGATGCTCTGCATAACACTCCCTCTCGAATACGGTTGAACACATGTCTCATCATCCGGAAGCGACGCCGGAAAAGATGGGGTTTGAAGAGCGGGGGCGTGCATTGAAAGTAATCGGCGAAAAGTAGGCAATGGCCAGTCTCTCTGTTGCGATTCAACTTCGGAGCATGACCCTGGATTGATCCCCTGAACCTCGGTCGCTGCCTAACAATGTGGTCATTGATGACCAATGCCGCAACCACAAACTCCTCATCGTCCGATGAACAAATGCGGTTGTTGAAAAAAAATACCCGTCGCCACTATCCATGTTACCCCGCGAGCAAAGTGTCGAACACCTTGCGATCATGGTGGAGATGCGCCCAGTGGAGATCACCCTAGCCTCCCCGTATAGGCAGCAGGCCCATCGAAGCGGAGACAAGGACAACATGTTGGGAATCGTTGCATGGAAACAAAAAAAATCTACGCACATGCAATGATCTATCCATGGAGATGCATAGCAACGAGGGGGGGGGGGGAGTGTGTCTACGTACCCTTGTAGACCGTAAGAGGAAGCGTTTCATAACGTGGTTGATGTAGTCGAACTTCTTCGTGCTTCAACCGATCAAGTACCGAACGCACGACACCTCCGCGTTCTACACATGTTCAACTCGGTGACGTCCCTTGCCTTCTCGATCCAGCAAGATGTCGAGGTAATAGATGAGTTCCATCAGCACGACGGCGTGGTGACGGTGATGGTGAAGTGATTTCTGCAGGGCTTCGCCTAAGCAGTACAAAAATATGACCAGGGGTGTAAACGGTGGAGGAGGGCGCCGCACACGGTTAGGCAATTGTCTGGGGTGTGCTAGGAGTCCCCCCTCCTCATGTACATAGGTGGTAGGGAGATGGGAGAGGCCAAGGGGCGCCCCATGCAGGTCTGAATCCTACTTGGGCTCCTTCCCTTGGCCGCACCCCCCTACCATATTTGTTGGAGGGGGGAGGAAAGACGTACGGGGGGAGAGGGAAGGAAGGGGGAATCCTATTCCACTCTTTCCTTTCCCCTCCCCTATTTCCTTCTCCTCCAAGGCCGGCCCATATGGGGGGCGCACCATCCCCTTGTGGCTGGTGTGTTTCCCCTCTTGGCCCATAAGGCCTATATCTTTTGCCGGGGGTGCCCGGAACCCCTTCCGGTGACCCGATAAGTACCCGGTACCCCCCGAAACACTTCCGGTGTCCGAATACCATCGTCCTATATATCAATATTTACCTCTTGACCATTTCGAGGCTCCTCGTCATGTCCGTGATCTCATCCCGGACTCCAAACAACATTCAGTCACCAAATCACATAACTCATATAATACTATATCGTCATCGAACGTTAAGCGTGCGGACCCTACGGGTTCGAGAACTGTGTAGACATGACTGAGACACCTCTTCGGTCAATAACCAATAGCGGAACATAGATGCCCGTATTGGCTCCTACATATTCTATGAAGATCTTTATCAATCGAATAGTTATGACAACATACGTAATTCCCTTTGTCCATCGGTATGTTACTTGCCCGAGATTCGATCGTCGGTATCTTCATACCTAGTTCAATCTCGTTACCAGCAAGTCTCTTTACTCGTTCAGTAATACATCACCTCATGACTAACTCCTTAGTCGTTTGCTTGCAAGCTTATGACGTGTATTACCGAGAGGGCCCAGAGATACCTCTCCGATACTCAAAGTGACAAATCCTAATCTTGATCTATGCCAACTCAACAAACACCTTCGGAGATACCTGTAGAGCATCTTTATAATCACCCAATTACGTTGTGACGTTTGATAGCATATAAGGCATTCCTCCAGTATCCGAGAGTTGCATAATGTCATAGTCGAAGGAATATGTATTTGACATGAAGAAAGCAATAGCAATAAAACTGAACGATCATTATGCTAAGCTAACGGATGGGTATTGTCCATCACATCATTCTCCTAATGACGTGATCTCGTTATCGAATGACAACTCATGTCCATGGTTAGGAAACCTTAACCATCTTTTATCAACGAGCTAGTCTAGTAGAGGCTCACTAGGGACACATTGTTTGTTTATGTATTCACACATGTATTAAGGTTTCCGATCAATAAAATTCTAGCATGAATAATAAACCTTTACCATGAATAAGGAAATATAAAATAACAACTTTATTATTTTCTCTAGGGCATATTTCCTCCAGTCTCCCACTTGCACTAGAGTCAATATTCTGGATTACACAGAACAATACATCAGGTCTGGTACACAGCATAGCATACATGATAGATCCTATGGCTGAGGCATAGGGAATGACTTTCATTTTCTCTCTATCTTCTGCAGTGGTCGGGCTTTGAGTCTGACTCAACTTCACACCTTGTAATACAGGCAAGAACCCTTTCTTCGACTGATCCATTTTGAACTTCTTCAAAACTTTGTCAAGGTATGTTCTTTGTGAAAGTCCTATTAAGCGTTTTGATCTATCTCTATCGATCTTGATGCCCAATATATAAGCAGCTTCACCGAGGTCTTTCATTGAAAAACTCTTATTCAAGTATCCTTTTATGCTATCTAGAAATTCTATATCATTTCCAATCAACAATATGTCATCTACATAATAATATCAGAAATGCTACAGAGCTCCCACTCACTTTCTTGTAAATACAGGCTTCACCGAAAGTCTGTATAAAACCATATGCTTTGATCACCTCATCAAAGCATATATTCCAACTTCGAGATGCTTGCAGCAATCCATAGATGGATCCCTGGAGCTTGCACACTTTGTTAGCACCTTTAGGATCGACAACACCTTCTGGTTGCATCATATACACCTCTTATTTAAGAAATCAATTGAGGAATGCAGTTTTAACGTCCATTTGCCAGATTTCATAATCATAAAATGTGGCAATTGCTAACATGATTCGAACAGACTTAAGCATCGCTACAGGTGAGAAGGTCTCATCGTAGTCAACCCCTTGAACTTGTCAAAAACCTTTTGCGATA